TTTGACTTTTTTTCGGCGCCACATACTAACAAGCTTGTTGTTTTTTTATATTAATTTTTAGTATATATTTTCACCTTTATCAAAATTAAGTTAGTTGTTTCATCCATCACATTTGCCAATCAAGTCGGTGCGACGTCGTTCACTAAGCCGTCGTTGAAAGCCCACGTATACCTGCAGATAAGTTTCACATTTATGCGACAATCTATGCGTGATTCTCCTTCTTAAACGCCGCCAATTTAGCTTGTAGGTGTTGCAGGCGATTCGGCGATAATTCAGGCTTCTATAAACGTAAACAAATGGTTAGATAAATTTTAGATTTTTTTCCAGTGAAAATGATAAGCAGAAAATTCACGCAAACTCACATCTCTTCGTATGAGCGATGACATCTTTTGCTGCGCATTCATCGAGTTCAAATTGAGATTCTCATCGGCCACTTTATTGTCCACGAGCATTGTGTGCGTGCCGCTTATGCCGTCCCCGTTGCGACCGAGATTCGCCTTCGAGATGAGATGATTCAAGCGATCCATCCAAAAGTCTGGATCGGCTGTCTTGGCACCGCCCGCGCTGCCACCACTACTGTTGCCCAAACCGCTCGCCGTTGTTGTTTGGTATTGGAAATTGGCATCTGTCAGATAAGAATAACGTGATGAGGCTGCGCAAATCAACACAATTGGTAGCGTGGAATGTGCAATTGGTGGTGAAAGTGGTGTTGTGGCGTATGTGGTAGTTGTTGGAAAATAAGTTTTTTTTGTATATTTTTTTTTTCGTGGTGGTGTATGTGGCATATGCAATAAAATAAAGGTGTTATGTAAACAAATTTTATTAGTTATGTGTCATTTTATTCGATAATTTAAACAAACGAATTTGCTTTTTAATTTTTGTTGCTTTATTTTAAGATAATAAAAGTTAAAGGACATTAGTACAAAGTGAAATTATAGAAGAAATGCAAATTTTAACCTGATAATAGTACCCAAACGCCATTGTTTACTTTTTTTCATTCAGCTCTATTAATATCTTATATTCTCATATGCTTAAGCTTTTTACTCACCTACGCGATTATCACCATTTTGTGCACGCTGTAAGCCGTCGCCCGCACCGCCGGACTGTGCTACAGCGCGTTCGATATCGGCCAAGCCATCTTCAATGTACTTCTGGAAGCTGGGGCTGGCGCCTTTGAGGAACGTTGTCAAATCGATTTCGGAATTTTGTACCTGGTAAAGAAATAATTAAAAATTAATATCAAAAAATTCAAAATATTTTTTCGGGTATTTTCTCACGAACCTTCAAAAACAAAACAGAATTCTTCATAAAAGACACAACGTGACTAATAAGATCTGGCAAAACGTTTTATGTTAGATGCAAACTGTTGACTGATACGCTTTTCAGATTGCTATCAGAAATACAGCTGCGAAGGGTATTTATAATACAAATTTTCCAAAATGTTGACAGCATTCTAATAATGTTTTAAAACTGAGTTTTTTACCGACCCATTCATTAAAATTATTCAATTAGCACATTAGTTATCTACTTATACAAATAAGCTACAATATATGTTTAAGCTCTATAACCCACCTTAAACTCGTAGAGTTTTAGCAGTCCTTGCTGCTTTGTTTCCTTATCTGAGATTAATTTGAATATCTGTGACATTGTCTCGTGCGTTTGATTCGAGATGCGTTTGCCATGCATATCCTTAGCCGAGGCTGAGCGTTGTGGTGAGGCGCTCGGTATGTGACCCTCCTTAGCTAAATTCTAAAAGAAAACATAAAATTCAAAAAAAGCAATTCTTTGTTAATTTGTTCAGCGTAACGCACCTTTAATATTTTTATCAAATAGGTATGTAGCTCTGAGTGTGTTGGTATCTGATTGAGATGATTCAATATGGCATTGCCTTTCACTTTGGCCATATTGTGAATGATCGTCTTGACCGTGCGCAAGGGCGTGTCGGATGGACGAGTTTGCCACCAGCTGCTCGGTAAGGCCAACATAAATTCGTGCACCTCCAATATGACGGCATCGTAGTTCAGTTCATTGGTGCGTTCCGGCAACATTTTCACATTACGCCAAATACATTTCATCAGCAGATCGGTGAATTTAGGCAAGCCAGCTACCGGACAGGTTTCGCGCAGCAGACGTATTAACGCGCTGGAAATTATAAGAAGAAAGTAATGATAAACTTTCCAATGCAAATAACGGTTTCACATACCAGTTTAAATTCGTAAAGTTCGCTTTATCCAACACCTTCAAACAAATACCGTTGATAACCTTATTATATTGACCATCATCGCCAGTATTCAGCTTCTGATCGGCCATGAGATTTAGCAGTGCTGACATTAAATTCTTGATGCAGGCAACACTCAGCGTTTTACCCAAGGTCTTTGAGTGGAAAAACGAGTAGAGTATGGATAGTAGCGGTTGATATACAACCAACGACTCGGTGATCGGCACCTGTGAAAGATTCTTTATGAAAAAAAAAGAAACGTTTAGGTTATGGAATATGAGCTATGTAATATGGGGCATACCTTGAATTGTGCCAACACATTTTGTATGAAAATTTCCTCATAGTCGCGGAGTACGGCCTGCTTTTCTGGTGAGTCGATGATCTCGGCAAGTTCGCTAATAGCAGCGCGCGCTTTCAAGGTATCCACGCTGCTTATTGACTTGATCAATTTGATTAGTTGAGGATCGTGCTTGGGGAGGACATCAACTAGGCTGCAAAAATTGGTTAAATAAACAATAAATTTTAAAATATATATTTAAACATTTTTATATAATAAAAACAAAAATAATTAACTTTTTACTTAAAAAACAACATGTTACAAAAGTATAAAAATATTTAAAATAAATATTATTGAAGGTATACAAAATTGAAACTAAACATCAGTTACCATCAGCAAAACACACTTACTTGGTTGGATGCAAACTGCCACTACTGCTACAACCGAGCCCACCGCCACCATAACCAGTTGCATTCAGCTGCTGTAGGTGGTGAATATGTTGTTGAGGGCTCATGTACGGCGATGCACAACTACCACCAGCTGCAGTCGCTGACGTTGGCGGCGGTGTATTGTGCACACCCTGTTGCATATAATGCGAACGCGAAATTAATTGCTGGAATTTTTCCTCCGGATATTTGACATTGTCACGTGTCGGTATTACTTTGATGGGCTCATGCAGTAGTGACACATCAACTTGTGGCAGCACCACCAGCTGCATTTGATCGACACGTACCCAACCTTTTTCAATTTCAGCTATTACTTCGGGATCCAAACCAAAGGGACCATTCGTTTTGGGCGGTTGATATTGATACTGGGTTGATGCGGGCTGATCGAATGTCCTACAGGCGTTGTTGACGAAGAGTTAAACAAAAAACAAAAGCGAATAACAGTTAATTGTTTAATATTTTATATGTTCTACAGACTAAGTGCGTTAAATACCAGCAAATGCAATTTTTGTTGGGTGTAATGCATTGGACGGACAAAAGAACGAAACAGGGGAGGCGTGTATAGACGCGCGCTGATTGTGTATGCACTTGCATATGTATGTAAATGTATATTTACATGTGGAATTGTGATTTAATGTGGATATCGAAATATTTTTCGAAAGTAGTATGGCACTTCTATAACGGGTATTTAATGTTTTTCAAAAATGTATGGTTGATAATATATAAAATATATATATAGAGATATAAATTTAAATAGTTATATGATTGTTTAGCACTTTTTTTTATTTTTTTAGTATTTTCGAAAATCTGTAAAATGAAAGCAGGCTTTAAATTAATCTAAAATAACAAAATATTAGCAAAACTCAACAGAACTTATGAAAATTTAAAAAAACAAAAAATATCTGAAAAAATTTTTTTTTGTTCCGACTATTTTTTGGTGTAAACTTTTTAACAGTTTATAGATTTCTAGAATTCAGTTAAAAGTTGTGTAATTTTATTTTTGTATTCCTTAGTGTTAATAAATCTTAACCAGACAAATTAACATCTAGCAAAAGTTATTATTTTTATTTACGTATAATATATTATCGGATTATTGCCAAAAATATTATTATTTAGAAAAGCCTAAATTTAACCTTTTCATTGTTATCATTATGTTTTCTTATGCGTTTGAGAATTTATATTACCTTTTACTTGTAAAATGAAAACATGAAACAACTTTTGAAAAATATTTCAATATTTCCCTCAAACATCAGTATTTTTTTTTAGTGTCAAGGATTTGTTATTATGATTTGTGTTTTTGTTTTTAGTATATATCTGATGAGTCTAATGCAAGCGGAACAAACGAAAACGTGAATGCCGCCAAAAAAATACAAGCGAGCAACGATTACAGCAACAAACAATGAAAGTGAATACGAAATATGTGATCAATGATAAAGCAAAAGATAAAAAAAAAACAACAAATAATATAAGCAAAAAATATAACAAAATAAAAATGTGAAAAACAAAAAGGTATTTAATATTAGAAAAATATAACATAAATAATAACGAGATAACATTAAGAATTACTAATTACATAAGCTTTAAAAGATATAACAATATATATAAACAAAGTGGGACTAAATTATAACTAAGCGAAATATATTTAATAAATTAGTGTATTGCAGAGGATATGAATAATAATAAATATAAAAAATGAAACAAAATATAAAATAATATAATGATCAAAATTAAATTATAAGAAAAAAATAAAGAAAACAAAAACAAAAATAAAAAAGAGAAAAAACTTAAAAAAAAAACTACAAATAAAAAATATTAAAAAAATACACAAAATAAATTTAAAAAAATAAATAAAAAATAAAAAAAATATATATACAAAATATTACAAAAAATAAATAAATAAAAAATATTTAAAAAATATATATAAAAATAATAATAAATAAAAAATATATAACTAAAAAAATTAATAAAAAAATAAATAAAAAATATATAAATAAAAAAATAAATAAAAAATATTTAAAAATATATATATAAAAAAAATAAAAAGAATAATAATATACAAAATTCAAAAAAAAAAGAAAAATATTAAAAATAAATAAATAAAAGAGCGGAAAAAACAGACAAAAATTAAATAAACTAAATTAAAAACAAAAAATCTAATAAAATAATGTGTAAGAGCAACAATAAATAATGCTAAAGAGTCCAAATTGCACACATATAAGAACAATTAAAGCATATTTTCGTATATAATTATCACAAAATATGCTTAACTTTATAAAATTTGCAAAATGCTAAAATAAAAAGCCCAGTTTTTCAATCCAAAAACGAATTTTTTGAGTTGCATACATAAGCATTTGTATACACAACAATAACGACGATAACTCTAACTCTATATTGGAAGTAACGGTAGAGTTTTATAATCATTAATATAAGCTGAACATAAGCCATGACAGCTTAAATAGTTATAACTTACTACTCTAAAAACTGCACAACTCGAATATATTTTATTTTCTTTCACAAATTTAACATTTCACAGAAAAAACATATTTTGAGATTATATTATAACTGCTGCACTGCTTGTTTTTTATAATAAAATATAACTGTGGTCACAAGGAAAAACCGAAAAATATACAATTTGAAGCTTTAAAAACACTTTTAGCTGTTATTCATTGCGGAAACAATTATTTTATTGTATTTTTAGATAATGAAAAAAGTTGTTAAGTGCTGCTGACAACGTTTCTCGAACTCGAGTTCAGCACTCAAAGCAATTCATCTTTTAATTTAGTCGATTAGTAAAGTGCTTAAACTAATACAAAAAGTCGTAATTGTAAATCAGTGTTGTCATTAAACTCAAATATTTTTATTCCAAGAAATATTAAAATATATTATTGTTAAAATTATTATATTTTTAAGTTTATTTATTAAAATTAATTAAATAAACTATATAATAAATATATATTTAGTTTTGCACATAACAACAAACTCTGCTAAGTGACCGAATTGAAGTATTAAAGCTTTGAAATCTTAAATCTTACGGTTTTTACATTATTTATACTTTTTTTTAGAAAATATGTTTCTCAAGTTATTTTTAAGAGATGTGAATAAATAAAACTGCAATTTTGGAGTAAGCAGCAGTAGTTACATTGACTAATTTTACATTAAAATTTATGAAAATATATAAAATTAAAAAAAAGTATATATACATATAACATATAGTTTAAAATATATTTTATTTCTTTTAATTAAAAATAAATACTGACGAAGTACTTATATAGAATGTGATACACGCAACATTCAAATACACGCAAAAAATTTTTGTTAGTGTAATGTGTGACGGTTAATTTGCATAAAATTCCAATACGAAATTTAAGTGAATGTCACGCCTAAAAATTTTAGTATGAAAATACAAAGAAAGTAATAAGCAGCGGATAGGAATAAAAACGCAACTTAAAATAAAAATAGCTAAAACAATAAATAATAAAAGTAGAAATGTTAAAAAGGGAAATTACGCTTGTCTTATGAGCGAAGTGGCGCGCTTGTCTTTTTCATCCGTACTGGCATTTGCTTCATACGCATTCGTTTGCAATTGCACACTAAGAAGGTGAAAATTAAAATATTAATTCTTGTTATTGTTATTGTTATGCTTTCGTTTTTTTTTCTTCTTAGTTTGCTTGTTTTGTTTTCTCAGTTACGTTAGAGAGCAGCAGAGCAATAATATGTGAAGAAATTAAAAATGTACAAAAAACATATGGGGTTTAGCAAAACGAGGAAGAAGATCTGCACTACAATTATTAAGAGAAATATATAATTTAGTAAACAATTTTGTTTTTAGTACAATGATTTTGTAGTAATACATATAAGCATTTAATTGTTCAAATATAAAATTATATGCAAACGTTTCGAGAACAATATCGTAGTTTCAAGTAGAATTTAGTACAAAATTTAAAACAATTAGTAACGAACAATGCCGAGGCATCAATTTTGACTGCGTCTGCATTGTTCAGACATTAATGTTAGCCAATCTACCATTTACATGTAAGACTACATACCCAAACACACAAAATTTGCATGTTCGTTAATTAATTGGTTTTTAACTTTTTATGTTAAGTTCACTACACACTTTTCGGCGAAATTGTAGCAGAGACGTAATGTCATTTACATACACTTCATAGCCACAGCACTCACCTTGCTGCCGGCATTGGCTGCTCGTCGGGTGGCGGTAGCTCTTCGTAAACGCCATTCGTTGACGGCTCATCGATTTCAATGCTATCCTGCTGCACCACGTGTGCGCCCGTTTTGGCACCACCACCTACGCCGCCTGCACCGCCGACTACCACCGCTGTCGTCGTATCTGCTGCAACTGTTGTGGGCTTGCGCGTCTTTTTGGCGCGTTTTATGCGTTCATCCAACATGGACAGGTCTTTTTCATTTAGTTGTCCAATCAGCTTGTATACCTTTTCGCCAGCTAAGAAATATGCCTGTACAACTGAATTCAATGCTGCATTACGCACCGAATTATCACGATCGGAAATGTGCCGTGCAATCTCTTTCAATGCCACCTGTTGCGATGGCTGGCACACCGTTAGCCCATAGTTCTCAATCAAATAGCCGAGCTCATCTAAACATTCGGTACGTTGTCGCGCATTCTTTGACTTGAGGCCATCCATAACGTAGGCAAATACTTTTGTATAAGGATAGACGAGCAAGATTTGGCGTAACAGGGAGCGTACACCAACACGTACAGCGTCTTTGGGATCGCCGAGCTATAGAATATGATATTTAAAAGTTCTAAAAAATAAAATTAAGATTAAAAAAATAATGTTTACCTTTAAGAGCAAATGTGGTATGAAAGCGCTGCCCTCATTCTCTGCCAGTATATACTCCATTTCAACCAATGTCTGGAAAACTTGATTAAGATACTCGAGGCCCTTCAGCAAAACTGAAGGATTCGTATCGTAGAAACGCAGTGAAAGCCATTTCAATATTAAATCCAGATTACAGACTAATGCTTTGCTGTTGTTGGGCAAATCTTCGTTCAAAGCCTCGATCACTTTCAAATGGTACCTGAATAAACGAATTTATGGTTAAAAATATATTATTGACACACCGAATTAATGAAATAAAAACATTCAATGCCACAGTAAACTTCGTATTAAATGCTAAGGAAAGTGATTGTATTAAAAAAGACACGACTTTTATATAATATATTTGTCTATAAATATAAGCTCAATATAAGTTTTGAAATTATATGTATAGCAAATTAATATCTCATTTCCGTTATCTATAAATTTTATTGATTCAAAAACTTCGTCACGTGTTGCTTGGTCACTCACCTAAAGTCGTCGTGGAACATGTTGGCCATTAGTCCTTTGTTAACATTGGCCGTTGTCATTTGCTCGCGCAGCAACTCGATAAATTCCTCCCGAGGCGTTGTGAAAGTCCACTTCAATACCCGCATTTTCTGCTCGTCAATCAAACGTTGATTTTTAGAATTATTTACCGCCAGTAGTGGTGACGTGTCAACGTCTTCGTCTTTCTTACGCGATGAACCGCCAGCCTTGTCTGCCGCACCCGCAGCGACACCCTTGGCAGCAGCGTTTCTCTGTGCGCCACCGCCGCGTACTGTCTTCTTTGCTGGCTCTTCAATGGGTGCCTGTTGTTTGCCCTTAGGTAACGGTTTCATCGGCAAATTTGGACGCGCTTTATCTAATGCCGCTTGTATATCCTTCTTAGATGCGGGTTTCTGCTTATCCAACGCTTTTACCATATTTTCGAAACCCAAATGTATCATTATGCCCAATACCGCCTCGTTGGCATTCTTGCGCACATCGACATTGCGATCACAGATGTGCGCATACAAATGCGGCACCATCGAGGTTAATTCCTCTTTCGGTATAGATTTGGGCGGCATTTGTGGCAAGCGCTCGGCTAGCCAACCCCATAGTTCAGATTTAAGAGCCGGTGAGCCGGTTTTCAGCGCATCGGCAATCATTTCACTTTCGAAGAATTCTTTGTAGCCACCTTTTTCGCCAAAACTATTGATACAATTCAAAGCGGCCGCGCGTACAGCGGCCTTATTATCGCCGAGCGCATGCAAGAAACCGGGGAAAAGTGTGCGCACATGGCTCTTACAGCTCGAACCCATCGCAATAGCGAGCTGTTCACAGATGGACATGGCGGTTTGTGCGATTTTTGCATTTGAGTCGACCAGGCGTAACGCCAGTGCTGGCGCTAAATCACCAATTGTTGGTTTAATCAATTTAGCTTCACTTATAATAGTTTGTAGTTTATTGAGACCTTCATTGCGTGTCTTCCAGTCCTTGTCGGACATCTCTTTCAGCAGCGTCTCCGTGATTTGCGGTGCAATATCAATGCGTGGCAACATATCAGCCAAATTAATTTGCTCTTGCGGCTCATCATCATCGCCTGCGTCATCGTCCGCATCACCGGCACCAGCGCTGGCAGCTGCCTTCTTAACGCCTCGCATCGGTTTTGGTGGCTTTTCGCCTGCATTCTTATCCATCTCTGTTTGTATTTGTGACTTCAATGCAGGTTTCTCACTTTCGAAAAACATCATTAGAGTACTACCCATGTACATGGACATTGTGCCAAGTAGACTGATAGCGGCGCTACGTACTGTAGGATTTGTGCTTTGCACCGCCTTACGCACATCATCCAGCAGCAACTTGGGTTGTATTTGAAAACCAAACTCCAGTATGGCTTTGTTCACCCAATTCAAGGCTTCTGACTGCACTTTCGGTGATTTCTGTTCGAAGGCGAAGGTGAGCACACGTCCAACTATATGCTCCAGTTTGGTAGCTTCAGCAAAAGCGGTCAACACATCAGCCGCGGTAGTGCCGTTTTTAATGTCAGCCAATTTCTCCGTCACTTCATTAACAACCAAATCGCTTGTGGTTGTTGTTAGCGGATAAGTTTCGGCCACAATGCGTATGATGTCGAGTTTATGCTTTAACACTTGGAAGTTCATCTCCTGCAAGGCAATTAGGCAATATTATTAATTGTAGAAAGAATGATTTCAAATTTTCAATATTACCTTCAAGCCCGGCTTGCGTGCGCTAATCGTACGCACAAGTACCTGTGATACGCCCGATTGCTTATTGTCAAAATCGCCAATCGTTTGCAATAGATTTTCGCACGCTGCCAAACGGTTCTTCCAGTTCGTGTCAATCAAACCCGCTAGCACATCGGCCGTTAACAATTCCTCAGCTTTAGCTTGAACCTCCTCTAGTGACATTTCACGCTCAGTGGTCAGCACTTTAACGCTGCTGGCAGATTTGGCGAGCGGTGCGCCACCGCCTGCAGCGCCACCCACCGCAGCGCGTTTGGTTACTGGTTTTTTATTGCCTGCGGTGGCAGGACGTGACACTGGTTTCGGTTCGGTAGAGCCGCTACGCGATGATGCACCCGAAGCCACATTACCAGCTGACGAAGCGGCTGCCACTGAAGTTTTCGATGCTGGCGCAGTAGCTGGGCGCTCCTTTTTGACGCCTACCACCTTTACTTTAATTTCAGCCTTCTCCTGACATTCCTTGATTTTGGCCATCTTTAACGCATCTACCTCTACTAAGAAAGGTCCAACGGACTTCTCACCCACCAGCTTAAGAAGTGTGCCCAAAGCTTCGGCTGAGGCGTCACGTACTGTGGGATCAGGTTCATTTAGTGTCTTAATCAGTGTGGTCACAAGTAATTTTAGTAGTTTTTTATTGATTGCCGTTGGTTGCGTGCGTGCAATTGCGCGCGCTAGGAAGAACGCCGTTTCAGATTTAACGCTAGGATTTTTGTTGCCCAACGATTCTACAATGCATTCTTGCATCGCTTCTAGATTCGTAGAGGGATAGATTGCATCCATGGATTCACGTAGTGCGGCAACAACGTTGGCTTTTTTCTCTTTGAACTTCTCCAAGAGCGACGGAACGCATGCCTAAGGAACAGAATGGCACGAATATTATTGATATTCAAATGGTCTTCAATATCATACACATATCTTAAATCATATAACTTACCATAGCATAAGTACCGAAACGTTTGCCCAACCCATTGGCTAACATCGCTAAGCTCTTGCCGGCCATTGCCACCAAAACAACATTGCTATCCTTTGTGATAACCTTTTTGAGTGTGTTTACCAGCACTCCGTACTCGCCACTCTCCAATTTCGGATTCTCGGTTAAAAGTTTTTCGAGCGTTTCTAATGACTCCTTACGCAACGTCCATTTCTTCTCCTCCAACTTTTCATAGAAATCTTTAGGCATCTTCGAGAGTATATCAGCGGGATCGATGAGCTCCATTGGATCAATGCATTCTTCACCCTCACCATCTTCATCTTCATAAATAAAACCAAAACAACAAAAGTTGACAAACTATTGTATTATAAAGGTGTGAAAATGACGGTTTTGACGGGTGTGTCTGGAGCACATAAGAATTATACATATGTATGATTTTGTTTAGTATACGAAATTGCCGCCATACCCAATGTGGCGTGACAAAGTGACAATTAAAACAATTCAAAAGCATTAAAAGCAGTGCATATTTATCGCATACGAATATCAAAACAAAAACAACATTAAACCTTAATAACTGCGATAAACGCAAATATCGAATTTTCTAAATCGCTTTGCTCAATATTTTTTTTAATGCTGAGCTCATTTGGGTGGGTGCGCGAAAAGCGGAAGAATATAAAGACTGAAGAATTTTTTATGGGAAATCGTACACATATTTCGTGTATATGCGAATAGAGTGTTAATGATCCAGAAAGAGATGATTTCTCATTAATTACTATATTTTTGGTATGTTACACTCTAAAAACTAATTACCTCAAAAGTTGTAGGGGCATTTACAAACTATTTTTAGTTATTGAGTAAGCAAGATATATCAACTATTTACGCCAGTTATTCAACTATGGCTATATGCGTAGTTTTTGAAATTCCAGAATATCATTAAAATCCTTTATTTTGTACTTCTCCCAAGCCCCTAGCACCATTTATATAAAATGGAAATAAATTTGTAAAATCTTTGTTCTTGATTTCTGTCATTTATATTAGAAAACTGGGGATGAATACATTTAGAAACAAAAAGAAAGTATATTAATATTGTTGTTTTATATTAAAAAAAATTAATAAATAAAATTTAGATAAAATGAGATTATTTTTTGGCCTCGAAACGTTGGCAA